CGAGAACGAAAACACATCTTCAGACTAAAGTTTTTCGGATTATATTTGACGTGCGCGCGAATTATTAATGCAAACTGTACAGCCGAAAGATGCTTTCGATTTATTCTACGCTCTGGCGTAAGGATAATGTGAATTTTAACACGCACGCTGCCTCGAGAAAAGCGTTTCCATATTTTTCATAGGAAAATTTTACAAATGAATAGAAAGATTGTAAAAATTCGTTCGCATTGTAACGAAAGGCTGGTTCATCTGGTTAGCCCCATTGTGTTTCTCGAGCGATATTTTGCGGTTCGTTCGCAAACAAAGTATAACATTTAATTTTCATTTCGTGTAATTATTTGAACTTTTTATGTATTACATCGCTCCAATTATAAAATGGTCAATGGTAATTTTATCGTCGACGAGTGGTGTACCTACACACCATGAAAATGGCCGTGCTGTTTAAATAATCTGCCGTAGAAAAAAATGAACTTCGTAGCAAGTTGTCGAGTTAGTGTCTCAAAATTGTTGACGCTAATTAAGTGAGCTATGCGAGGCTGAAATCGAAGCAGCAAGTCAGCAAACTTCGTTCGAGAGTTCGTTATACAAGTTATGTGCTTTCGTACAGCAGCGGATAACCAAACTCACGTAACGACTCTTAACGCGATGGTCTCCATACACTGAATGCAAAGTTCTTGCCTTGAGAAATACATATTCCGAGATGCTCACAATTTGTTGCACGAAGCATCAGACACGCGTGACAAACTTAGCCTCGCCGCGGCTTTCGTTCCAATTTCCTGTCCTGCTTTCGGTTTTCTCCAAGCTAGCAAATTATGCTTGGCTACTAGTTAGAAATATAGTCGACGCCCTCGACTTTGCGTGTCGCAGGAAAATCAAATCTTTATTTTATTTTATATTTTATAACGTGAGACACGTACGAGCCTCAGAAAAGTGAAATCGACCAACTTTGGTTCCTTCGAGTTCTCGATTTACGTAATTGATATCTAATATTTCAAAGAACGAAAGGATTTTATTTTTAATTTAAACGACATGGATTTATTTATTACGAAGAAACGGATTAATTAACCGCGAATGACACGATTTTCAAAAATAATCCCGGCTATTGTTAATTTTTTTTGTATTGTTGTTTACCGAGCATGGCTTCTCAGCGACTCGTATGATGCGGATAGAATAAAATAAATAGGAAGTAAAAGCATTAAAAAGCGTACCAATTTCTAGCGGACCAAGTATCGGCAAGTATCAGAAATAATTTCTCTATATATTTGATGTATGGCGTGTCATTTATTAAAATAAATAAATAAAAAGAAAAAGATCTTAGCACTTGGTACTTAATAGTAAATTTACTACTTAGAGAATACGTAAAAGTTCATGTAATTAAGAAATAAATCATCCCTGTGAATTTCGCAATAAGGAATAAAGATCAAAGAAAAAAACGCGACCACAGAAATTCAAAAATTAATTCTACAAATTACGTGGTCTTTCCATTTAAAGTAATGATACAGATGCTATAGCCACCTAGCGGTGGTAGGACAGTACTAATCGTCAGATATTAAAGATATGAAAATCACAATTCTCCGAAATTTACACAGCACTTTTCAACTATTAAAGTTTGAAATAAAATATTTAAGAGTAACTTTACATTTGGTTTCTTGCCGATAGTTTGCTTAACTTAGATAATTATGTGGCGTGGTAAAAAGCGTTCGATTTTGACATGCTGGCGGCATCGCACGGTGAACCATGGAATCGAATCTTGTTTATGAAGCGCGAGATGCCGCCATCGTGTCAAAATCGAACGCTTTTTCACAGGGTACGTAATTAGCAAAATGAAATATTTCAAAACAGCGTCGATATAACAACGATAATTCAACGATATTTCAACACAATAATCAAACTTTTTCGACTTTTAAATGTAATTTCCAAATTAACCCCTTGCCATATACCATTTAACTCGAAAGGGAAAGGAACCGAAGCGGCGGAGACAGAGTGTCGAATCTTGAAACATGAAACCGTGCACCTGTATTTAGAAAAAAGGCACCATTCGGGACGTTTGTACTTGGCTCGAGATTAAGACCACGAGTGAAGCTCGTGATATTCAGGTTTGGCTCAAAATTCTCATCACTACTCAGGCTCGTAAAAGTATGGCAAGGGGTTAAAAATTAAACAGTTAGAAATAGCTTACAATTGGTCTTTTTCGACATTTTACCTAATTTTTTTACGAATTGTTTGAATTGTTCGATTTTGATATGGTGACGACATCTTGCGGCGAATCAATGCTTGAACGTGAATAAAAGAATCAAGTTTTACTGATTCACCGCGAGATGCCGCTACCATATCAAAATCCAGTAATTCAAACAATTCGTAACTAACAAAATTAGGTAAAATATCGAAGCAAAACAATTGTAAACTATTTCTAACTGCTTGGTTCTTAATTTGAGAATTTCATTTAAAAGTCGAAAAATTTTTATCTTCGTACTCTAGACTCTATCTCGTGACTCTAGATCATTAAATAGCACTCTACTGCTAAGGGGTCTTCTATGTACAATAGAAAAATATGTACCACCTGTTCTTTGTTAAACAGTGATAATTAAGTGAAATTTTGCTAAGAAGAATGTAGATGTAAAAAGAAATATGTCCAAAGATATCTAGTTATATCTAGTTAAAAGATGGGAATGCAATAATACATTTACATTTTCAATTATAATGTGTATAATATTTGCATAGAAAACATAGTTGCTTACATTTTTGTAAGAACCTTTAACAAAACATGTGAAATATCGTAATTTGTTTTTAAAAACACGCTGTTGATTGTTTTAAAAATTTAAAATAATGAGTTTTAACATTTTAACATTGATAAGAATTGAAATTCTTATACAGTCTAATTATTATAAAAATTGGGAACCCAGAGTGAAAATTTTAAATATAGTAATTGGGACTTTAGCGATTTGCGAACCATGTTAAACGTTTTTATCGTATCGTAGTAGAAAAGAAATTGTTCAATATACAAAAGTATCTATGTTCCAGGAGAGGCCTTATCCCCTAGCGAGTCCTGCGACTCTACTGCCGAAAGTTATAAATGTTAAAAAATGTTACAAAAGATGTACAAAAAAATAAAACGAGAGAATATTAACACGTCCGTTAAAATTAATAAACTATGATTCTCCAAAGAATATTGAAAATATGTAACGTGCAAACAGTGATTCTATCGACCGCACTGAGCTTGATCACATAAAAATAAAATATTCTTTTCCATATCTTCCTCTTTTTTTATAGAGGTTTTTCTTTTTTTTTTTTGATAAAGATATCCTATTTTCAAAACTACGAATGAATTATTACTTATTTACCATACATAAGGAAATATGTCCAGGATATAAAAAAATATATAGTTAATATATTTGAAATATTATTATGCATTATGGAATATTTTCTATTATTGTCAAATATTTCTATGTATACTACATAATTAAATTGACGTATAAAAATTATCTTAAACTGAATATCTACTATTTGGGTTTCAAATATATTAATACAACATGGCATGCATTTTTGTCCGTTAAATAATACTGTGCAACAAGTAAAAATCGCAATGCGCAGACATATTCAAACTTGAATTTGTCTTACCCCTTCTCCCTGTAGCGTTGTTTCTCGAATATTCTCTTGAATTTTACGGAATCTTCTTAAATTTTGTGACATCCTTCTAATGCCTCGAACTTCCCTTGCAATTTAATCTGTACAAAAAACAAGCAGAACATTAAAATAAATGTATAAAAAGAACAAATTGCAATTAATTATAAAAATGAAACAATGATCCAAATCGTATTGCGTCTTGAATGCTCGTTACTACAGGTAAATGTAACAACCAGAAGGATAATGAAGAAGAAAAAGATAATCAAATAATAGATTATAATAAATTACGAATTAAAACGTACGTGAATTAAGCGTAGTTAACAGCAGCGTGTAGTTGAACGGAGAAAAATAATTATGAAACTGCTACGTATTAGAGAAATAGATACGTATCGCGAAGTGACAACACCACTACTAAACGCTCCGAGTTTGACATTACAATGACTCCCCGCGCCGCGGTCGGTCGAACGAATTTCGGTTAACGAGGAGAGGGGGGGGGGCGTCCTCTAGCAAATCGAGCGTGTCACGTATCCAAATAAGAATCGTCAATCGTATCTGGAAAGGATATGTCTTCAGTAGTGAGCATGTTATTCTTCAAGTAATACGTTAGATCGAAATACGGAGATGTGCGTGGAAAGATACATGCGTGAACTAATATAATTTTTAACTTATGGAATTGAAACATGAACACCTACGCTAGGTAATTTAGTATGTGTTTATATTATTACAAATACAATTTCTTTTACAACATTTTACAAACTATCTGTCAACTATACATGAAATACTTTTGTGGATATGGAGTAATCTATATTTTCATATAGATGCTTAAAATTCTGGCAAAAAAAGTACTAAATTTAGTTAATGAGCTTATATGTATTAGTAAGTAAATATTATTGTATCAACTTGGTATTCATTAAGTTTTCCTTTTTGAGTTGTACACATAACGATACATACATATGTTACTCTTACAAAGAAAGTAAAAAATTGTCTTATTTCAAATTCATTAACATCAACAAATTGATTAAAAGTATACAAGAATACTGTTTATTATTTATTTTAATATAGTTATCAGTATGTATATATATACTGATATTTCTCCTGACCTTTTTCCTCGTTATTCCATGTATGGCCATTGTAAAATCTATGAATTTTAGTCATGAATTAAGACAAACGTATTGAAAGTTTTTGTATAGAATAAGAATAAATGCATATAATAAATAAGAAAAACAAATAAGTATGTGCATGTGATATATGTATATTCGACAAAGAAGGCAATGGAAATTCTTTCTCGATACATACATATATAGGTCTATATACCAAATGATTTTTAATAAAACTGTTAAAGTAAAAGTAGACAGAAATTTATGATTGATGGGTAAAGTTATACGTTGTTATATGTAGAAAAGTGCAACTGTATCATTGAATAATGTTTAGAGCAATGTTTCTCTGATAGTTTTGTCATTGTACTACAAGACGTTAACAATATATGTTAAGAAGACAAATTTATGTGATTAGATAGTTTTAAATTAATAGTCTTTCACATATACTTGTGTCGATTCTAATTCATATCCTGGGTAGCTTCTAGCATTCTAAATAATTTTTGTATCGTCTCGTTCAGATCTTAATACGTTGGCAGGTGCATGGTAATTTAAACGCAGTGCTTTGGAACAATTATATAATTAATAGTTCAGAGATTATTATAAATATGTTATGGTAACATTATGATGTGTCATGTTAATACGATTTAGAAGAACAATGTAATTTGCATCAAATTGAGGATATCAAAATATCATAAATATTTATAGATATTAACCCTTGTAACACTGAAAATGTTATCTGGTTGTATTAAATACTATACATATTATTATTTCATGGCTTCATTCATAATTAATTATTCATTAGATTATATACCTAACTACAAGATTAATATCTTTTAAACAAAAATTTTTATTTTGCTATATCCATAACTTTTTAACTATGGAAGAAACTATGGAAGAAAAAGTGATATGTGACTATATTTTTTATTTTGTTTCACGTGAATGGATGGTTAGACGGTTTCATAAAATCCCGCGGAATACCAGCTAGTGGGAAGCAAAGCAATATGGCCGCCCAGTACTAAAGCGCTATGCCGACTTTCTTGTCAGTTTCCTAATTATTGCCTTTTTTATATGTTTTACACGAATTTTTTAAATCAGTGCGTAGTAAATAGGTACAGTGTACGTTAGTTTACAATGTGAGGGTGGAAATTAGTTAATATCCATTTGGTCAACGTATATTCGAAACCAGTGGTGAGTGTTTTGCTATTCTGTACATAATCGTTGTTCTGCCTTTCCATGGTCGCTCTCTAAACAAGAGGGGTAATCATTTTGTTTACATCGTGTATCGAATTGTTTCCGCGAATCGTTATTAAATTGTGATACTTCACCACATATGATTATAGTTGAGGTATAATAATACGAATTACATGAAACGTGTGTAAGCAAGCATGCATCGCATGACAGTTAAGCGCGTCAGAACATATAACCTCTTGTATCTTACAATGCTTCCATTTGTCTCGTCGCAATTATTTGTCGTTTATTTCTGCGTTATCATCTTTCTTAACACGTCTTGTAAGCGTTTTTCTGTAATATATTGTATTTGTTATTTATCATTCAGAAATGATACTCCGTGTCTAGAGAACGTTCTGTTTTTCTTCGTCCTACGAATGCTCTGAAAGAAAAGTATCGATTTTGTAATGTTCCTAAATAGTCGTCTTTAATACTAAATGTGTTAATAATTACGATGTGTTTAGCTAATGTTATAACATTCGTAAGTAGGGTTCATATTAGTAGATTTCCATTTCACGTTGTTCATTTTATTATTTCGCGTTACATTCATTTTCCTTTGACAACTATATATTCGAATCGTGAACGCAAAGTTAAATCTTTTTTGCTTTTAATATTTGCTTATGTATTCACCTTTAAACATTTTTATATACTATACGTTATATAATATATCGTTTTGCGTCGTGTAGAAATAGAAAATAAAAGACATCGGAAATAGAATTAATTTCTCTAGATGTACGATAGTTTAAGTTTTTCAAATCTTAGTAATTGTTCTTACTAAATTAATTATTTTCGTTTATTTTCAGAATAAGGGGAAATAGGACCAGTATTGAGAAAGTACACAGGTGCGTATCAACAGAGCCATCCCAGGAGAGAATGCTCCAAAACATTCAAACTGCAAATAAATGTATGATTAATTTTTTTTTTTTCATCATCCATTTATTACTCACATATTCAGTAACATGCACTTTTATGAAACGCGAACGCATTAGTTTTGTAAAAAAATACACGCAAGTATCGCGCGTATTCTAATTTTTCGTCGGATGATTTCTGATAAATCGACCACATAAATATTTCTATAAATCAGTATATTGGATTGGAGATCATTTTGCAAATGAAATATTACGTCATAAGATTTATAAATTTACTTAGGTCGAGCAGTGCCATAAATCGTTATTAATTGGCGTTATTGATAAATTTTATTATTGATATAAAATATTTTAATTGTATGATAAAGCATCAATAGTTTATTCTATTCGTGGAACTGGTTAATCTCAGTTATCGACGTTTCCGTGTACGTTACTGGATAATACGATAATTTTTATTACCACTAAAGTGTCATACGACTAATACCACACCGTAAAATCTCGACAATTAAAAGTTGTTTCTTTCTTTTATAAAATAAAATCATTGTGCCATCGTTGCAGGATACCTAATCCGTATTACTTGGTAATTAATTAGTACTTTTGGATCGTTAAAGTATCGAGATTTTACAAAACAGATCTTTTATTTCTTTTTACGTGTTAATTCTTATTTCTATCTTACTAACCGTATGTTTATACCTTCTTTTTTGCACTTAATTTATACATAATTAAGAAGGCAGTTTTTATGTATATTACTTTAATAATTCGATTAGAGTGTGTACAATACTTACAAACTATTGGCCTATTTTTTGTATCGTCATATTGAAACCGTTAGTTTTTCACTTGTTTGAACACATTTTTATACTCGTTTGTTTTTGAATTCAATTTTCTGCATCAACTGCAATTCAGTGTTCATTCATCAATCATAAACATATTTTAAAGTTATTGATAAGTATGTATTCCTTTCTTCGTACCTTCATTTGTACAAATTGTGATCCCTTCGTTCTCGAGCTATGCGATTTCCTTCTTATACATATCAATTTAATCGAATACACTTTTGCTTTGGGCTCCCATAACTAAATAACTAATTGTTATTTACAATACAGCAGTCCGATGGTATTTTCTATTAGCCTGGTATAAGGAAAATATTAGAAAACAATATTTTACGAAAGGAACGTAAGTAACGTACTTAGTTTGAGTTTCAGCGGATGAGAGATAAATCTAAAAAAAAGTGAAGAAGTAGTATTTTAAGTTTCAATATATTTAGAAATATGATAAAATATGAAATCGAAATATATTTCTTCGTTTTCTAACGATTGTTTTATTACCGCTTTATTATTATATATTGTAAAGTGCAAGAAACGAAGGTAAGTCTGTACCGACGTCTCACCACTTGCGTTACCGGCGAGAGATTCCGTTACCGACTGTGCAATAACCCGTTGCGGGTGCTGGTCAAATGCTGTTTTATCAACTGCAAATTTACCTTTAATAGAAAATTTGCTGTTTAATCCTCGGTTGAACAATACGATATGAATATTTTCCAACGCTAGTTATACAGTGTATTTTTATATCTTTTGTTGTACTTGGTGTCCTCATTTTTGGATGGGATTAGGGCAAATAACCATAGTATATAATATCAGTTTAAGAAGGAAGACATTTAATAATTAGAACCATAAAATATAAGCAAGAAGTATTGTATGGAACGACCAAAAATGACAACGAATTAAGACCATTATTTTGACAATCGATTATAGCTTTTAGTTGTATATGGAGTTTGATTAAAGTCAACGCATGTACGGTTTCTGAGTAAAGGAATTGGTATTTCTCTTCGTAGCAGCAGAGTAAAGTGGAAGATTCGGAATAAAAATTAAGCATTGTAACTGGAGCTTGAATCACGTTGACTTATACAGCATACTTCTGATCGCACATACTCTCACATTATTTCTAGTAGCTTAATCCATTATAATCCATTTTATCGTTTCTTTAAATTTTATATTTTTTACGTGTTATTTTTAAATTGAGGATAATAGTTCCGTCAGTTTGTTTCATTTACGTGTTTGCTTTTATGCGAATGTCATATAAACCATATGAATTTCGTCAATGATATAAAAAGTTTTCCAAAAATTTGCGGTTTCCATTGTTATGTTTCATCGCACAGATATAAAATCAATACATGGTTTTTATTTTTATTTAAACGAAGAATATCTTTTGCAAGTTTTGTAAATGTTCTTAATAGAAAAGTACTCGTTTTATTCCTGCAAGTTTATGTTCTTTTTGCTGTTGGAATTCAACTGTGATGTAGTAACGTTGTACCAGTAGAGTAGAACAAAATAAGAACAGTACAGAATGGAAAGTAACTGACCGCACACAAGCGAGCTTTTTTATTATCTCTTCCTTTTTTGTAGAGACCCCATTCGTTCATTAGACTCGAGCCGCTCGACGTTCACTGACCTAAGCTACACACTTCTAGCTTCCTCCAAGTATCTTCTGTAGTCTTTAGTGTGTCGTTTGTTTCTTGTATAATGATATTTAATATTTCACAACGAATCACGTTGCATTTTGTTTCATGAAGTGTTTTCTGTTTTCAATCTTCTTTCTTCCTTTTCTTTATAAGCTGAAAGCGTATTAAAACCATCGTGTAGAGAGAGTTAACTGAAAAACTTTGAAATTTAGGGCAAATTATAAAAGTCAATACACGATTATGAAAATAACGCCGTTCTACGCGACTTTCGGCTTACCGAAAAAAAGAAGAGAATTTGTTACTTGCGAGATAAGGTTTGCTAAGTAAGTAACAATGGAGGGTGGAGAAGCACGAAGGAAAATATGCATAGAATGATCCAAAGATTTGCGAGAGTGTAGAAATAGGAGCGTATAGGTTGTAGTGATTTAATGATTTTAATGACTCTGCGATTACGTCGGCAACAGTCACGGCGGGTTAACAGGCGATAAATAAAATGTAGACACGAGTAGTGGCAACATGCGACGGTATGTTTCTTTCTGCCATAATTTCAATTTTCCTTTTCTTCTTTTTCTATCAACCGTCAGAATGCCGTACCTTTATGTTCAAACGATTATACAGATATGCTCCGTCTTTTTACGGTATTTAACCGTGTATCTTTTATATCGTAGATAGTATAAGTATAACACGTAATAATCAAATAAACGTGCGTAGAAGATGGAAATTTAAAGTAGGAGAATTGGGATAGGCAATGAAAAGAGCGCGTTTATGCTCTTAGATTCTTTAGGAAAACGTTAAAAGATTCGAAGCACATATAGTCGCGAATTGCGGTAAAACCTGAACCGAGACATCGTGTAACCAGTGCCCGAGGCTGATGCTTCAGTACTGGCTGGGGGTCTCTTGGTTTGTCAAGTAATCCCACTCTTACCTTTTCTAGCCCCATCGTTTTCACCCGCTTTTGCCTCTCATCTTTCTTTCTTTTAAGAGCTTCCCGAGTCTCTGATATTTCTTGTTTTACTCTCATTACCTTTTTCTTCGTCGCCCATCGTAACTCTTTGTTACTGATTTGCGTGCTAATTAATTAAGAACTCTTCCAAGAAAGAGTGATTTCGAGGTGGCAAGAGAAAATATTCCTTCGAAGTTTGTTCATTTTTCACGATTTTCGACAGCGTAGCATGTCCCTAGATCGCGTCTATGTGCTTTTAAATATTAGAACGTTCTTCCTTTTTCTTCATTTGCCTTTCCAATTACTTTTCTTCTCGTTTATTTTATCATATTCTTTTCCTACTACGATTAATCATTTAATAGCAAAAAGGTATATACCGATATTTTTGAATGTTTCATTATTGCGTAAATTTAACACGAAGGCGGTACGTTCGCATTGGATATCTGATAGAATAATCGATGGACGAGAAACAGGCGAATTTAGAGCGATACGCAAAGAGAATTTCGTAAAGGAATATATTGGTAAACGGAATGTATGTATAATAGAAGGTTCGACGATCAAGTTGTTGAAACGTAACATTTTTGGAATTATTCCGCGGAAGTAACGGTGTACAAAAATCATGGTCGAAAACAGTGGCACCAACGTACGTGCTCTATCGTATTGTAACGTGCGAAATATATCCAGTTTACGTGAAACGTTGTACGGTGATATTCGCGATACAAGGTAAACTACACGTACTACTAATGGCTACTAACATATCACGCGCTGTACTTTCCTTGAATTGTATTTTAATGTCGGCTGAAAATCGTCAAATTCGTTGAAAGTACGAATTTAATAATATTTAAGTGTATCGCGGTGAGATTCTTGAAGAGAATAAAATTTCAATGAAGTCGAGACACGGTTAAACGCAAGTCGATTTTAGATGATTTTGAATCGTCGAGCGATCGATTACTCCGAACATTGCCAGTACTGTCCAGTGAGCGAACAATGGACATTACCTCTGATTAGGACATGCAACTGACACCGCGTACGTAACCTACTCTGTATTCGTGGAGGGCACAGAAGGTAGTACGTTCATGGTGATCCAAGGACCTGGTTCCATAATAGTATTAGCGGAACGGCAGTGCTCACGGTAGAACGCCTAGGAACCATGCAATCATTGGCACGCGAGAGTGCGTCCTGTTATTGCTAGTGATAAGGACTACAATCGAGGCACCAACCGACTACTGACCGGCTGGTTTTCAACCTTAAATCGCTCGAATAGACCTGCTTTGTGCTCGATGATGGAAGAACGTTTTCTGCGAGTATTATGTTTGCGTCATGATAGGAAACAACAACAGGAACGATTATGTTGAGCGCGTAGTTACATGAGAAACGAAGTTGGTTAGACTGACCGGAATTTACTTACCGTGGCAAATTGATAATACCCGAGTGCAGTAGCACGTACGTAGCGAGGCTGCTGAAACACGTACGCGCGAAGTTGATGTGATTTAGTCAGAGGAGCTATGGCCAATGGATTTCATTTTCCCAAGTCGGTACCTTCTCCTATGTTTCTACGTTTCGAATAATATCGCCGTT